AAGCCCATTGAGTTGGCCAGGGGGCAAAAAAAAAAGTCTAAAAGTGGTTCTTCAAATCCTCATATAAAAATTAATCCTGAAAAAAATAACTAAAATGGGAAAACATTGTATTCAAGGAGGCTCAGTGAACATTTTCTTAAATGGCAACAAAGTTAGAGACTTCCTAATTGTCAGAAAATAAAGGATTGTTCGATAAAATATAGAGCGACCAAGCATGCAATGGAATATGGTGCAGCCTTTACAAATAATGATGCAGACACATTTATTGATATAAGTTCATTTTTATTGCAAAGTGGAAAAAAGGAAGTTATATTTCATCATACTTAGTATGCTTCTATTTTTGTTATATGTGACCTGTTTATACCTTCATTCGCACAGAGCAAATCTGAAGAATGTAAACAAAATTAACATGATCCTGTGTCCAAAGTAGAAAGATGGGTCCTTTTTCTTTTGCTAGTCCATCTTTTCCAATTTTTCTGCAATAAATACAGATTTATTATATAATGAAACTTTTCATATTTAAGAAAGATCACAAATATCAATTAAGAAAACAGCTGGTTTCCTCAGAGAAGTTGTAAGAAAGGACTCTTTTCCTCAGTGAATGAAAAGTAAGTGTATTCTTATCAGGAAAAAATCTTTTCTCCTGCTACTTTCTCTGAAAAGCAAAAAACTAATGCGGAAAATGCTGATATACCTAGTGAGGATAGCTAACCGCTTTATACCTTGTTCAGTCATTTATTAAACTGCTCGTTCATTGACTTAGTTAAGCACTGATCCGACAGCAGTTGACAGATGACAGTTTATAGAGCAGAAGTCTGTATGCTGGTGATGTCCTCTGTGGTGCCACTTGATGGGGCACAGGTGTGAGTAATGCCTCAGTCAGATCAGCATATTCCAAGCTTGCCAAATCCCAATGGTCGCTTTTTTTTTTTTTTGTATGATACTCCAAAGTGATCCAACCCTGGTAAGACTTCTATTTGCTAAAATTTACCCCCAACTGCAAGAGATGAAGACAGCTAATTGATTTATAGCAAGAAACCCAGCCAAGCAGAGCAGAATGCTCCAGTCATTAGAACAGTACATGCATTCCCCTTAGACACACTATATGGGAAAGCAAGTGACAGGGTCAGACAAGTGCTTTGCAAAGCAGGTTCTGACAGCTGTGCTGATAAATTAGAGGGGTGTCCATATGTCCTAGTTTACCTGGGACATTCCTTGTTGATGCATGATTTCAAAGCATAATGTTTAATAACACTCCTGTTTCTCTCAAAAGTGTCCTAGTTTGGTTGACAAATTACATGTCAGCCTAATTGGAGAAGACAGTAGTGGAACCTGGCAAATGAGTTGTTAGAAGCCTGTTGAAAAATCCACTAATGAAACAATGGCTGCCTAAACCTGTGCTGCAGAAACAGGATTAGAAAGAATGAGATGAATTGAAGTAAAGCAAAATCTAGGTGGTGGAAGCTGTAGGAATTTGGTGAACCATTGTACACAGGGAGTGACAGAAGAGTAAGATTCTGATGACTTCAACACTTCTGCCTTGGAAATTTATTGTACGGTGATTCTAAAAGAAAGTTTGGGAAGAAAGATTTTGCATTTGGTTTTGAAATTGTTGGATTCAGGTGTCCGAGGGATATGCACGAACAGTCTCCTAACAAGCAGCCAAAAAGGTCTTCAGCCAAAAAAAGGAGCCACGAGCTCAAAAGGAGGGGTCTGGCCAGAGGTAGGTTTGATGCCATCCAAGATATGATATCAATATATATGCCAGGAGCAGTACAGGAGTATACTCTTGTATACAGGAATGGAGAACAGGGTAGACAGGCCCTTACAGAGAGAAAAAAGGAATTGAAAAGAGATCAGTGAAATAACAAAAAAAATATTAAATATACAGCTAGAGGATTTTAAATTAGTCATTGATGTTTAGTGATCACTAAATATGTGCCAAAGAATAGTTACACAGTTTATTCATGGTATCTAACCACATCACATAATGACCCTATAATGAAGGTATTATTCAATAAGAACAAAGATACACAAAAGAAGACAAGAAATTTGCTTAAGGATTTAGTCTAGGTAGTCTGGTCCTGAACCCAGGCTCTTTACCACTGCCCTCTACCACCCCTCTCAGGGGACAACTGGGATCTAATTAACCCTCTCTAGGCCTGCCTTGCAGAAGTAGACTGTAACACCAGTGTTTTCCTGCAAAAGGCAAAGTAAATAAATAGTCTATCATTTCCCAAAGAGGACATATAAATGGTATGCAAAGTGATACTCATCAGCACTACGCAATGAGGAAATGCAAACAAAAACTGCAGTGAGATATCACCTCACACCTGTCAGTGTTGCTATTATTTAAAAATACTTGTTAATATTGTATAGCATAATATATACACAGTGGACAATTATTATGTAACAACTGATATATATTATATATACAACTGTATCATATATACACATACTATAACTAATGTTTGTATGTTGATTTACATCCTGCAATTTCACTGAATTCATTTATTCTTTATTAGCTTTACCAGGTTTTTGGTGGAGTCTTCAAGGTTTCCCATATATAAGATCATTAAGATCATGTCATCCACCAACAGTCAGTTTTACATCTTCCTTTCCAATTTGGATACCTTTTATTTCTTTTTCTTGCCTAATTGCTCTGGCTAGAACTTCCAGTACTATGTTGAGTAGAAGTGGAAAGAGTGGGCATCTTTTTCTAGTCCCAAATCTTAGAGGAAAAGCTTTCAGCTTTTCTCCACCGAGTATGATATTGCCTATGGGTTTGTCATATATGACTTTTATTATGTTGAAACTACACTCCTTCTGTCCCTGATGTTGGATGTTCTATATGTGTCTGTTATGTCATTTGGTGTATAACATTATTCAAGTCCACTGTTTTCTTATTAATTTTTCATCTGGATGATCTCTCTACTATTGAAGGGGGACATTTATATTTCATAGATTTTTCTGTTCATTTCATGATAACTTTGTGGGAATTATATTTGTTATGAATTGAATGTTTGTATCCTCCAAAATTTATGTATTAAGCCCTAACCCTCAATGAGATGGTACTGGAAGTGGATCTTTTAGAAGGTAATTCAGTTTAGGTGAAGGTGTGACCCACACTATGATGGGATTTATATTCTCATAAGGAGAGAGACCGCTCTCTCTCCACTATGTAAGGACACAGAAGACAGCCATCTGCAAGTCCAGAATTAAGTCTTCTGGCACCTTGATCTTAGACTTCCAGCCTCCAGAACTGTGAGAAGTGTCTTATTTAGGCCACCCAGTCTATGAAGAGGTATCGGAAGAGAAGAGGGCTGAGGCTGGGACCCCAGCAAATATATTTTAAGTAGGAAAGAGCTAAAGGATCTCTTAAATAAAAGGTCTACAGGGAGTGCTCAGAAACATGGACAAATAGAAATCACAGTTATTAAAATAGGAATATTAGATTAGCTTGCCTAATGAACACATCAGCCACAGCTTGCCTACTGGATGCTCAGATGCCCCTAGCATTTCAGGACTGAATCACTCTTTCCCCCAGCTGCTTAAGAGTATTGACACCTGCAAGCTCACAGCTGAGCCCCCTCCCAGTGATTGCTTCCATGGAAGAGTGCCACTCTGCCTACAGCCAGGGTCCCTTTTCAGGGTCAGCCTGCAACCAAAGTCTAGTCAACACTGGGGTATAAAAATGGAGAACCTTCTATGGAATCCCCTGAAGTCTTTGCTGTAATTACATCACAACTCAGCTTCTCCAAGACCCAGCCTGCTCCCTTCACTTCCCCAAGATATGCAACCCACAAAAGATCCCTAATTAACCTCCTGCACACACATCTCCATCTCTTAGTCTGCTTCCCAGGAAACCTGGCCTGAAATAGCTGCCATTGCATTTACTACAGAACAAAAATGTGATATAATTTGATCTTTTTGTTATGAAAATGAATTACTACAGGTAAGTGATTAGATGAGTGCCTAATGTGAGGAACAGTAACCATAATGGATGTAACACTTCCAGGCGAGATTTAGTGCCTGACTGCCAACTAGATAAATTTTAGAACAAACCACACAATGTGAAAGGAGAGATGGCCACATCTGTTTTCTCCCCTGATTCTGAAAATGTTTAAGACTGGATACTCTCATTAAAATGATTCAAAGTGAACTGTACTGAAGTGTGATTCCCAGCAAACATATTTCTATTTGAGTACAGAAGACCCAGAACACTGTGTCCCATCCCTCACCTGTGTAGTTTCAGGACCCCTTCCAAATGCCACTGTCAGAAGTACAAGAAGAAGAGAATGAGTTTTGCCTAGATAGCTCTAAAGTAAATGTACTACGCTAAGTAATGGATATAAACTGTTCCACAAACAAGGGATAACTGATATATCATATAAACTGCTCCGTATCACTTTCATTTTTCCCATTAATCAATGGAGCCCCATCCTCATCATCACCACCATCACACCCCATCCCCTTACTAAGAGCAGAAAAACTTAAGGATGATGTCCTTCTCTTGAACTATTTAAGAGCTTGGAAACCAAAGTCAAATAATAGGGGCACTCAGTCCACCTGCCCCACCTACCCCACCTACCCCACCAGGGTGAGGTGCTTTTACTGCTCTCTGCCACATGCAATCACTAACAGACACAGATTCTAACTCAGTCTGACAGAGGCATATCAAAGTATGACGGGAACCTGACTTCTATGCAAACAAAGAATGAATGCATGATTCATAGGAAAGCTCAGTCCAAGACCATTTGAGCAATTTGGGAAGTTTGGGATTTGAATTTGGTTTTTAGTGAAAGAGTAAGATACTAGGTTTACTCTTACAAAGCATTAAAACCTAACCTTCATGGTTCTTTTCTGTAACACAGACCCATTTTCATAAACAAAATCTACCAGTTAACCCGAAACCACAGAATCTAGGCCTTAATCAATAGAAGATACTAAGTCACAACAAAGGTCCATTTTCTTAGATAATTAAGTAATCTTGGGTGACCCCAAAGTTATTACTCCAGCATGACATGGAAATAACATGATTTTCTCCCTTTTTGTATATCCAAGGTCTGGATCTTCATCAGCAGGTACGTGGCTGGCCCAGAACCCTGCATGGGCTAGACTAGTTCACAGGGATAAGACCCATCTCTCACTGCTCAGATCCATCCAGAGTAATCTGTGCTTGGGATGCCAAGGTTTCACAGCCCAATTCACCCACTTCACATCCTCATCCCTGTTCAGAGCACCAGCCCACCCAAGGAATACTGTGTCAGGATTGGTTCTAGCATTACCACTGTATAGACCTGAAACAAAAGCTTTTTGTTTTCCGTGGACTAACCCAATGAGGCAGGCAGTTTTCATTTTCAACCCAAAGGATCTAACTGTACTCCACTTCCCTGGATATCCACCCTCCACTGAACCCTGGGGAAGCTCCCCAGAGATCCAGAGTCATCTGTCCTCCCTTCTGGTGTGTGGCATGGAGTGTGGCACCATTAGTGATTCCAAAATAACTTTTCTGGCATATCTCTCATTTGAAAGGAGAGGGAAAACACTAATCTCTGGAGGTACATGCTGCTAATGAAGGGAAATGAGGTTGCTCTCTGATTGCTCAGTAACACATAATGGACCAATAAAGAGAAAGGTAAAGCCAGATACTAAATGACTCCTGGGCCAGCAAGATCTAACTTGTAAACAAAGTGAACAATTAATATACAATACAAGCTCCCTAGACTAACCACACACCCCTAATGTTGTGTCTAATTCATTGCACTGATATCCCAGCATGCTGAATGCTCACTTCTGGATAACTAGCTACACTCTAATACGTATACCAGAAACTAGAAATAAACTACACAAGAAAATGAAAAAGCCCACAAACACATGGAGGCTTAATAACATGCTCCTAAATAATCAATGGATCAATGACCAACTAAAAACAGAGATCAAGCAATATATGGAGACAAATGACAACAATAATTCAAAGTTGCAAAATCTGTCAGATGCAGCAAAGGCCATGCTAAGAGTGAAATATATTGCAATACAGGCCTACCTCAGGGAAGAACAACAATCCCATAGGAACAGTCTAAACTCACAATTAACAAAACTAGAAAAAGAAGAACAAATGAGGGCCAAAGTCAGTAGAAAGAGGGACATAATAAAGATTAGAGCAGAAACAAATAAAATTGAGAAGAAAAAAACAATAGGAAGAATCAATGAAAGCAGGAGCTTGTTCTTCAAGAAAATTAACAAAATAGATAAACACCTAGCAAGACTTATGAAGAAAAAAAGTGAGTCTACACACATAAACAGAATCAGAAATGAGAAAGAAAAAATCACTACCAACACCACAGAAATACAAAGAATTATGAGAGAGTACTATGAAAAATTATATGCTAACAAAATAGAAAACCTAGAAGAAATGGACAACTTTCTAAAAAAAATACAACCTTCCAAGTCAGACCCAGGAAAAAACAGAAAATCTGAAGAGACCAATTACCAGCAAGGAAATTGAATTGGTAATCAAAAAACTACCAAACTCCTGGACCAGCTGGTTTCACTGCTGAATTTTATCAAACATTTAGTGAAGACCTAATACCCATCGTCTTTAAAGTTTTCCAAAAAGTAGAAGAGGAGGGAATACTCCCAAACCCATTATATGAGGCCAGCATCACTCTAATACCAAAACCAGACAAAGACACCACAGAATAAGAATGTTACAAACCAATATCCTTGATGAACACAGATGCGAAAATACTCAACAAAATATTAGCAAACTGAATTCAAAAATACATCAAAATGATCATCTATTATGATCAAGTAGGATTTAT